ATTTAGCTAATGGTAATTTAGTTAAGTAGTGTTATAACTTAACCCATATTGGAAATTTTTCGATAGATTTGGGGTACTTAAGTCAGTCAAAAATTCCCCCAATTTGATAGCAGTGTGTCATTGTTGAAAGGATGAAAGTAGCGTAGTAGTTTTAATAGTATCATGACTAACATTTTATTATTCAACTCTAATCACTCTGAGTGCATCAAGGCCTAGGATATGGTTTAAGGATGCTATTAATTATTTTGTTCAGCTGATATCATCAGACACCTCATGCTGATAGAAAGCTAAATAACTTAGTCTTTACCCTACAAGAGACTCACAAGATTTGCTATTGGTCTTTGGGGAAAACAAACAAAATCACAACAAATAAACAAAACTTTTTGAGCCATTCCTGGTCTTCTTGGTTGTGTCCTTGAATTAAGTTTCTCGATTAATCAGTACTCATTTCCTAGCAGGTTTTCACGGACCCTAGCAACCTTCAGCGGCACATTCGCTCTCAGCACGTTGGTGCCCGGGCCCACGCTTGCCCAGAGTGTGGCAAAACGTTTGCCACTTCGTCTGGCCTCAAACAACACAAGCACATCCACAGCAGTGTGAAGCCCTTTATCTGTAAGTTTTTAACACTCCAGCTCTCCTTCCTGCATCTGTCCTTCCTCCAAAAGGCACTGTAACCAGGAGCCATGCCTTGCATGGCCATTGGGTGGGTGGGCCTAATCCAGTAGGGATATTTTCCATTACAAGAAAATCTTTCATCACCAGATCTGTGGTATTTTTGTCTATGATCTCAGGGGTGTTTTGTTTTAGATGAAATCAGTAATAGATCGAGAAAAGAGAAGTTATTAAATAATGAAAGGGAAGCCTCCCCCAGGTTGTAAGATTGAATAGAGACAGCCAGATTTGTCTCTCACTGAAAATGTCCATGGCTTTGTAAAAACAGCAAATAACAGATACTAAACAAGATGAAGTGATAAAAACCTGTTCTGGATCAGAAAGTGCTGGAAGAACCCCACCTGGCAAGTAGGCTTATGACTCTGTGTGTGTGTGTGTGTGTGTGCACATATGTATGGGGGGAGAAGAGTGAGTGGTGTAAAATGTCCTTTAATCTACCCATTGTTGCCGATCCCAGGTTGCAGATCAGTAGTTCTCAGTTACTGGAAAAGCAGAGCATTTTCACTTTGATGCTAGACATGCTGCCTCTATAATTCACTGCACTCAAGCAAATTTATAGTCAGTGTGTTTTGGGGGACATCCGATCTGACCACCTACTTAGAACATCCCAATACAGAGCACTCTAGTAGCACACTTCAAATGAAGTCCAAAAGTCCTCATTCGCAGCTTCTTCTGTCCCCCCTCTCCTGTTTCCTGTAGTGTGCTGAAATATTTCACAAGGAAAATCAGTTGTTCTCCATCCATCTATCTGAGCAAGGACTCTGGACTTCTTTTGATCCATTGCTCACTTGGGCATATAAATACAATGACTCACTGAGTTGTGCTACAAACTTCAGGACTGATTTTGAATCCAGATAAGGATAGAACTGGTTGAAGCATATCCAGTAGTTGGCAAAACCTCTGATTTTGGAACCCTGGCAAAAGAGCTTTTTTGACAAATACATGATGGTTTTTAGTGGCTAGATGAGACACTACTACAGGACCAGGTGGAAAAAACTAATTTTCAGTGCCAAAATGGAGATGTCAGAGACTAGTCTCCCTGGTTTTTTTTTTGTTTTTTTTTTTTTTGCCTTGACACAGTTTTCTTTTGTGCTTCCAAGCATCAAGAGAGCTTTTCTTTCCCTTTCCAGTTTACACTAGATTCTTGTTTCTCTGTTCCCTGGGTGGAGTGAAGAGGACTGCCAGATAAAAAAAAGGGTGCCCAACTCTCCATTGGGGAGCTCTGTTGAAAGTCACAAGAAATGAAGTATACAGTAGAAATTTTAGACTTATTGTCTCAAAAAGACATACCTGACTCGAGGTTATTACACCCTAATAATGTTCTCTCATATGCTACAGGCATAGATACTTCATTTATTTCCGATTTCCTATAAATATGTTTTGACAAATTTATTATGTTTGTGGGAAAACAGGACAGAATAGACCATCACAAATTAGAATCACACATCCAATGCCTTCTCTATTATTTGAAATAAAAGTCAGAAAACATAGATTCCTATCATCTCAGGTTCTGAGATCTGGAATTTTAATTGTGTTGAAGTCAAATTTTACTTGAAAGCACTATAGGGTGTCCCTTTCCAATTAGGTTGCATCAACTACTTCCCATAAATGTATTTTCAGTAATTATCGGTAAATTTAAATAGCAGATGGCAGTCTTCAAATGTAAAATCTGACAGAACCATGGGGTAATTAAAAATAATAGCTGTGTAATTTCGGAACAAAAGAGGAGTTGGTGTGGAGACTTTGGAGTGGAGGAGGTTCACCTAGAGTTGATATCTGTTTCTCACCAGAAGGCCACACACCACGATTTACCCCACTGGTGTGTTTATGGCAACTGTCTCTTGTTACAGTGTGCCGCCGAGCTTGAGCCCAGAGTCACCATCGCTAAGGTAATTACTCACTGGCTTTACAGAAACCTCCAGCCTTCCCAAATAGAAACCACATGCTCTAATAGGTTGAATATATTCAAAATACCTCTTAATTTGTTTAATAAGTTGAAAAATACAACATTAACTGCTAGCTAATTCCTTATTACTGAGAAAATTACAGTAGAGTATAGACTTCAACATCAATTGAGTCATTTACCTGGAGGCTTGGTGGTTTGTGGGGGGCCAGGTCAGGCCTTCAATGAGGAAAACAAAACCTTTGCCTATGGAGACATCCCAGAATCTGTGTTCTTGAGACCCGAACTGACCTGACACAGATGCTGCTCATCCGTATAACAAGGGATACCGCCAGGAAAGTCAAATGCACCTTCTGTCATTCTAATAGAGAGAAGCCCAGGATTTCTTAAAGCCATTCCAGTCATCAGAAAGATGTTTAGAGAGCAACATTGCCAAAAAATTGAAAAACAATCAGAAACTTACACCTTGGTTGAATATCCATCAGGACATTTTCTTAATGTTTTCTAATGCCCAGAGGGCAGGTGTTGCTTTTTTAATGAGAAATAATTATTTTCTTGTTATTGCTCACAGCTGATAGTATAACTAGTCAAAGTCTCATGTTTCTACCTTGTACATCGTATGGTTTGAATTAGTCTTTCGGAGAACTTAAATAGTATGTATATTTTTTGTATATGGTTAACTAGTATGTAAAACTAGTATGGTTTTTTTTTTCATTTTCATTGTGCAATTACTGTCAATTTTCTTTTTTTGATTGTATTTTTTTTAATTGATGTAACATTGGTTTGCCATTAAAGCAGACTCTGATCAATATATTCCAGTAGAATAATTGGGAAAGAAATCACTCATATCTTCTCTTCCCGTTAAAACCCAAGCTTATCTTTAAAATGTGAGAGTGCATGTTACAGCCTCTGCAATGTTATAAATTATCCCACAATTGAAAGGTCATTAATATTGGTAGGCAGACTGATACATGTACCACTGCATCTGAAGTGTTGTAGTAAAAGAAATAGCTATGGGATCACTTGGTACTTCCTGTTTGGTGGCGTGTGGGATAATCAGTTTCGGGTGAGTTTTGTGTGATGAAGGTGTATAAAATCTCCACCGTATGAGTTTTTTTAAAAAACATGACCATTGCTTTCACTTAGGAACTCAGCCGTTTCCATTTAAAGACACATCCTGTGGAAGTGATAAATATTCTATTTTTCTTAAATTCATTTCTTGTATAAATTTGCTTCTCAACACTTGCCTACAAGCATGTTTCTGCATTCCCTAGTCATGCATAGAAGCATTTAAAGGAAGTTCATACATAGACTAGATTCATCCTTACAAAATATAATAAAAAATATGATGCTTGAGAATCTGATCCCTGAAACTTACTGGACTTGAAGTGAGTGGGAGTCACGTAGCAAAGGGGTTCTGAAAGGTTACAGAGTTTGGTCTTAAACTATGCTTGGAGAGATTTGCACATAAGTGAGGGGGGAAAGGTTCTACCTTTTTGGCACATTTTTGGTGAAGTGGGATATTGCCCAGCTGCGCCCTCTCCTCTCTTCATTCTGGATTAGCGCAAAGCTCTCTCCCCTGTTTGCCACAGTTGGCTGTAACACATGGAAGTTAAGTCCTGAGATAACTGGTGAAGATATGACAAGTGGACATGTTTCTCAAGGACGGGGATTTCATAAATGCAGGAAGGTTAGCACAACCACTGGTGTGAGGGGAAGTCAGAGGACGTGATCATAGTTCATGGGAACCAGCAATGCAGGATGGGCTACATTCAATTTAGTTTCCTTTGCAGGCTTAAAATAGAGCTATTGTAAATTATGTCAGTCTTTCTCAAATCATGAAAATGATTGTTAAAAATGTCTCAGAATACACAATGTGCATTGTTGTATGGCTTTGATGTGTGAATGATGAGAGTGTATGATATAATACAAATTAAATAATGGTAGAGCAGTCACAGACCTTTTCCCCAAGGGGAGCGGGAATAAAGGTGAAGTTTCTGGTTGAGAGAAGACTGTTTTGTTTTGGTGCCTACAACATAGACTTTTTCAGAGGGTCTGAAAGTTTTAAAGGTTTCTTGATATGTTTCATGCTTAGTACATGTTATGTGTTCTAAAATTCTATTAGAGTAGTATTGGGTGGAAAGTCAATGCATGCCTAAGTTTGTGTTTTCCTTAAATATTTAGATACCCGAATATTATTATTCGGTATTATAATGCAAAGTATTATTCAGTGGGGATGACAAAATATTTATATATATATATATAAATATATATGGAATATTTGTGCTGCCTCAAGACATTTGTCAGGTTGGATGCCTTGCTTTGGAATCTAGTGAAATGGGGTTATTTGTGTTCGGAGCACTCAGACTGGTGCCTCCAACATCTTTTCCTGGCTTCCTAATTAAAATTTTGGGTAAACCAATTGTGATACTTGCTAAATTCAGAAGCAATTGACATAAAGCCTGAGATTCTTTTTTGTTGTTTGCACACAGGTGAGGTCTGCCATAAATCCTATACTCAATTTTCAAACCTTTGTCGTCATAAGCGCATGCATGCTGATTGCAGAACCCAAATCAAGTGCAAAGACTGTGGACAAATGTTCAGCACTACGTCTTCCTTAAATAAACACAGGAGGTTTTGTGAGGGCAAGAACCATTTTGCGGCAGGTGGATTTTTTGGCCAAGGCATTTCACTTCCTGGAACCCCAGCTATGGATAAAACGTCCATGGTTAATATGAGTCATGCCAACCCGGGTCTTGCTGACTATTTTGGTGCCAATAGGCATCCTGCTGGTCTTACCTTTCCAACAGCTCCTGGATTTTCTTTTAGCTTCCCTGGTCTGTTTCCTTCCGGCTTGTACCACAGGCCTCCTTTGATACCTGCTAGTTCTCCTGTTAAAGGACTATCAAGTACTGAACAGACAAACAAAAGTCAAAGTCCCCTCATGACACATCCTCAGATACTGCCAGCTACACAGGATATTTTGAAGGCACTATCTAAACACCCACCTGTAGGGGACAATAAGCCAGTGGAGCTCCAGCCCGAGAGGTCCTCTGAAGAGAGGCCCCTTGAGAAAATCAGTGACCAGTCAGAGAGTAGTGACCTTGATGATGTCAGTACACCAAGTGGCAGTGACCTGGAAACAACCTCGGGCTCTGATCTGGAAAGTGACATTGAAAGTGATAAAGAGAAATTTAAAGAAAATGGTAAAATGTTCAAAGACAAAGTAAGCCCTCTTCAGAATCTGGCTTCAATACATAATAAGAAAGAATACAGCAATCATTCCATTTTCTCACCATCTTTAGAGGAGCAAACTGCCGTGTCAGGAGCTGTGAATGATTCTATAAAGGCTATTGCTTCTATTGCTGAAAAATACTTTGGTTCAACAGGACTGGTGGGGCTGCAAGACAAAAAAGTTGGAGCTTTACCTTACCCTTCCATGTTTCCCCTCCCATTTTTTCCAGCATTCTCTCAATCAATGTACCCATTTCCTGATAGAGACTTGAGATCGTTACCTTTGAAATTGGAACCCCAATCACCAAGTGAAGTAAAGAAACTGCAGAAGGGAAGCTCTGAGTCTCCCTTTGATCTCACCACTAAGCGAAAGGATGAGAAGCCCTTGACTCCTGTCCCCTCCAAGCCTCCAGCCACACCTGCCACAAGCCAAGACCAGCCCCTGGATCTAAGCATGGGCAGTAGGAGTAGAGCCAGTGGGACAAAGCTGAGCGAGCCTCGAAAAAATCATGTGTTTGGGGAAAAGAAAGGAAGCAACATTGAAACAAGATCGGCCTCAGATGGTTCCTTGCAGCATGCAAGACCCACCCCTTTCTTTATGGATCCCATTTACAGGTAAGGGTGGATGAGCGAAAGATACCTGTGGACAAGTGTATGAGAAGTAGTTTTCACACTATAAAGTTATGACTTCCAATCTACCATTTTTATTGCTATTGTAAAGCAGAGAGTAAAGCTGCTTGAACTGGTGGACTCATTTTTTATTCAGAAAGTTTACTCGTAGGTTTGTACTTATGTTTGGATGTCTCTGAATTAGCTATTGTGGAAAAGGCCACGGAGTTCTTTCCCATGACAATAAATTTATCTTAATGCACATTCTTATGTGGAAAATATGGGAAAGCCATTTTTAAAGCAAGTTGTCCAAGTGGCAAAAGGATGAGGCTCTGGAAGACTTACTGCAAATATGCGTGGGTGCTTAAATGAGTCAGGTTATTTGGAATAAGATGGGGGCTATAACAGTAAGAGTTTATTCTTTGTTAACCTACCACTACATCCTTAATAAATACTGGTCACATTCTGTTTCTAAGTAAATCTCTTTGGCCACAAGTGAATGAAATATTAATCACAAAAATGTTTTGTATATAATGTGAGCCATCAACTTACAAAATAAGGCTCTATTTAATGCCTTCATTATCCACTTTCCTTTCATGTATCCAAAAATTCCTTGGGGAAAACATATATACTTAATAAAAAGCTTCTTAAGCCCAGAAGGCTAACTGAGTCATGTGCAGTGCAGAGAATCAGCATGGATTGTCCAGAGAGGGCTCAGTGTTATGAGCAGTCTTCGGTTTTGCTACACATAAAAAGGCCTTCAGAGCATCTTGTGCATTCTTCTATGAGAGTTGAGTTTCCATTCAAAATAACCTGGCCACCAAATCATGCCTGTTGTGTTTAAAATGAAAGAGTGCACAAAGTTGAGAATAGGGTCAGGTTGGGGGTTCTTCTTTCTCCTGGAGGAATTGTGTTCTGAGACATGATTCTCCCTGTAGATGAAAAATACTTTTCTCTCATCAAAGGATTTCCAAAGAGGCCAGTGTGTCTCTGAAGGAGAGCAAAGAATCAACTGCAATCACTTCCAAAAAAGTAAAAATCTGATGTATCCTCATGTTAAAAAAAAATCACTTGATCATTCAGAATGATTTAGTATTTAAACATAATTATCCTTATGGTGTATTCAAATGTTACTATGTTTTTTCATCAAATCTTGAACATTGCCAAGAGTTAATTATTCATTGGAATAATTTTTATTGGATGCTTAAAAGATGAGACTAATTAAATATTTTGTCTGATTATCTTTTATGAAGAGATAATTTTGTGCTTTTAAAAATGATATTTATTGCACTTCTAGTACTTACTAGGTACTAGAGTGACACATTCTTTTCACATAAGATTCTTTGTCTACCTAGTGTATTGCCAATACATTAAGTAAGAAACATCATCACTACGTTAAGGGCTTCCTCCCCTTGAACATTACAAGGTTTTAGAATTAAAAAAGAACAATACAAACAAAATCTCAGAGACACCAATACTATGCTTGGACACCCCACCCCCCATTATATCTTAGTTTGTGAGGCAATTGCATTATTAAAAATAAAAAAGAAGGTAAAATAAATCTTTCGTACTTTGTGAATAGCTCATACATTACTGATTGCCAGTAAGGTTGCATTTTCATCAGTGATATCGCTCCGTCCTTTGTGAAAATTATTTCTCACATTTTCTTAGAACCTTCCAATGTCAATGGACTTCCAATTCTTGCATGTACTCATTACAAGCTTCTCCATCACTTCTTAACCTTCCTTTTGATTACTCTATTGTTTGTCTTCCCTCTGGTATTTCAGTGTCATAGGCCTGTGATTTTATTAATGTCACAAAAAAGATCTAAACCTCAATTTTAGTATCAGACCTGGGAAGAAATCTTTATTTTCCTATGTCAAACATTGTTTTTCATCCATAAAATGGGCATGAAGCCCCTGTGTCAACAAGTGAAATAGTGTACACAAAGCAAAGTACGAAATTTTAAGAAGTAGTGACTTTTATTTTGATTCTTTAAGAGTAATGATTCAACAGTGTTTGAAAGAAAATTACAGCAGCAGAACTTCTCAAACCTGAGGGGGGAAAAGGAATTAGAAATAAGGACTTTATGTATTTTTTAAATGAAAATTACCAGGAATTGGTAAAAAAAAAAAGTTAAATTGATCCATAATGTCATGTCATATATTCTTAGTAGAAAATAGAATGGCTAACATTTATAAAGCAGAGGGTAAGTTTTATGTATGTCTTCCGACCTTCAAAGTATTCCTCTTGCTCATCCCACCCCTTGTACTGTTCAAAGTGTGCCATTAGAGGAAGGAATTCCACAGAGTAGCTAGCAGGAATTCCACAATTCCACAGAGTAGCTAGCAGGTTGTATGGTGTGCTTAGAAACTCTCCTGCTGCCTTGGAAAATACGGAAAAAATAACATGACTCTGTGGTAGAATACTTTATTGGTAGAAAATAACTTTAATTTTCAAAATTAATCCCATCCATATGATTTCAAAATTGCCAAGCATTTTTGCCTACATTTGAAATGGAAATACATACATTTATGATCAATGCCTTTGGCTTTGTCTTTTCATTTTTTCTATTTCCTCATTATTATCATTACTAGTCATTCAATAAACAGGACCTTCCTTTTTTGAGCACCGAGGAGTGCCATAGTATTCCTTAACAACTGAACATCTTTAAATTTTTATGAGTGTGCTTTCCAGAAACCTACCATTTGCCGTATTGTTAGCTGTTGTAAATGTCAGTGATTATGCAGTGATTGATATGTAAGTCTAATTCATCTCCAAAATCTAATTTTAAACTTTCAGAGTAGAGAAAAGAAAGCTAACTGATCCACTTGAAGCTTTAAAAGAGAAATACTTGAGACCTTCTCCAGGATTCTTATTTCACCCACAAGTAAGTATTTTGTATTTGCAGCTTCAAACTTGTAAACTAACTTGTTGATCCTGAAAGGCAGGTGCAATGAAATGAAAGAATTCTTGAGAACATTAGGATTTCCTATGACGCTGTTGTGGAAGAACACAGGAAATTCTAGCGGAATTAAAACTCAACTTTTTAAAGAAAAAGTCATTAATAGATGTGTGAAAGTAATATGATGTTGCTGTTAAATTGTCGTCTGCTGTTAGCTACTTACTGAGTCAAAGTGAATTTTGAAGTAAGCAAAATTCAGCTAAGAAAGTAAATACTGAAGTTGTCTTTTGTATTTAAAAATTATCTATGCTGAGAAATGTATCTTACAGTGATTCCTTTCAAATTCATAAAGGTTGTTTGGTTCTGTTAGTGCTTAGATAAAAACAGGAAATGAGTCTACCTGACAAGTTGTTACCATAGAGAGTGAAGGAATTTATGTAGAGACCACTGGGCGCGTTCCAGCAAAATTCTGTAATTACACAAGAATTCACCACAATACACACAGCTATTTACTGAATAGAGTTTTGTCCCTTTATCAAAATACAGTTTCTCATTTCTAGGAGGATATAGAGGGGTGATATCTAATTGGCTCATCTCTGTGTCCCTGCATATGTAGTCATTTTTTAAAACTGGTTTATATATCAGTCGACATGTGGGGAATTGTGTTGAAACAACAAATATAGAAACATCTTGAATCTGGTTTCTAGTTTATATTGATTTTTTTCAAAGATATAAACTCTGGTCTGTCTAAGTAGTGAGCAAAAGCTTTATGAAATGCTTGAAAACAGAGTAGACCAATTCATTGTGTTTCAGTATGTTCAAACCAAAAATTATGCCCCATTAATAAATTAGTGGAATTTTATGTAGACTTTCTTAGACGGTTATGAGATACCCGTCTGTGATTTTTTTAACCCATCCCCTCCCGCCACTGTTACCTTTCCTTCACATATTCAAGTAGCTTCCCAAAGTCCTGAATAGCAGACTATGTGAGTGAAAATACTATCTGCTTGGCTAACTGAATAAATCTAACATTGCTCAAAAATTATCTTTATTTCCAACTGAGAAAATATATGATTTAATAGTAAAAGGCTTGGAATTATTCCAGTTTGTATTTTTTTGAAAGGCTAGATAATTGTATTATTTACATAATTACCGTATGGAAAAGAGGCAAGTTTAAAATACTAAATGTTTAACAGATACTTATGTTTTCTATTCCGGCTTATCTTAATCGTACTTGTAGTTTTCATGCACTGATAAACCTCTATGTAATATGCATTTTGTGTCAAATATTGCTCAAAAAGTATATCTCTCTTGATAACTTCCTCTTCTAATTTTAACTAAATGATTTATAAAATTATTATAGTTATATACATTTAATTACAATAATTAAATTCTTTTCACAGTCTAATAATCTTTAAAAACAAATAATTATTCACTTCAAAATTAAGTGCTATGTGTAAATGGTATAATCGGAAAAAAAAAAAAGACTGGGGGCCAGTGTATCTGGCTTTTAGTTTTGTTATCTATAAAATGAGGAGTTGTTTATAAGGTTCTTATTTAATCTGAAATTCAAATACTTTTAGTTAGCAAAACTAGAGTTACTGGTGTTTAAGATGATAAATTCCATCTGTCAATAAATCTACATGTGCATGCAACTGTTATGTAGTATGGTACATATTTGTTAACCAAATAATGTAAGAGAAATGCTATATTTTAATATCTGCAAAGTTAATGAAGGATCACGAAGGATGAGGCACTCTTACAGTGTCTGCAGCACAGCAATCCTTCCCTCAGATCTTCACAAACACTCCCGTGGGAGCACATTGGGTGTTCCTTCCCACCCCAGACTGTCGTCTTGTAAAGGGTAGCCTTCTGCTGCTCTTCATTTTTCGATTAGAATGCAAAGGTGATAAAATAGTTAACACCTGGTATGTCATGAATACTGACATTAAAATGGATGCCTGCCATTCTGTAGCAGGGTTCTGGAACCCTTGCCATACCAACTGTTAATACTTTAGTAGTTGGCTAGTGAACTGTCTGAAGGGTTTTTTGGGAAGAAGCCAGGGCAGCAGGTGAACATTCAGGGTGTTTGCTGCAGAGGCTACTTACCAACCACCAAAGAAGTATTCCATTATTGTTATGACTATCCTGGCTGGTTTTGCATGTAGTGATTGTATGTCAATGGAATGCAGATAACAAAGACAGTTGCCTGGGAGAAGCTTGGGTCAGCCATTTTCACCAAGCCTTTACACCAATCAGTGTTTTATTCAGAGAATCTGCCTCAAATGCTCTGAAGTTCCAACAGAACTTTTGTTGTTTCTAGTAGTCTGCCAATCCTATCATAGCCTCAAAATTCACTTACAATCAAACACTACCCAGAAATCAGGGCAAGAATAACTGCTTAGCAGTAGTGCCTAGGTTTTGAGGTCTTCTCTATCTGCATGTGGGGATAACCTCTTCCAGCCTTACAAGAGTAGATATAAAGATCAGTGTTCACATATACAGCATGTTTAGCATTGTGTTTGGCATGTGAAAGCTATTATTATTAGTGAAGCAGAAGTATTCCATTTTGAAAAGAAAATATTATCAGTGAAATATGCTCCTGATACTTCCTGTGTGCAGTTTCTTTGGTGGATTTATAGCATGTATCTAGAAATACTTGAAAAGATGATTACCTTGTCCTTGGCATGACCTCATTGTGTAGAAATAAGGTGGCAGAGAGCAAGTAGTCAAAATGGAAGTACTTTCTCTGCCCCCAAATATTGCCATGATTTTGTGGCTAAGTAAGTACTTGGATAAAACCATCTGTTCATTGCTTCATCCTTCACTTAAAAGGTATTGGAGCAAACTCTATGGCCTATTTGAGCTTCCATATCTTCATCTTCAGAATGAGAATATTACCTACTCTATTTCTTAGAGTTTCATAATAATAAAGAGATCATGTATTCTTAATGCTTTATGGAAAAGTTTTATATCATTTATATATGCTTGGCAGTGTATATGCTTGGCAGCGTATATGCTTGGAAGTGTATTCTCTGGGCAAATCTGCTTTTACAATTTTTAAGTATCTTTATGTTCTACCCAGTATGTCTTTCCCCAGTACATGTTACAAAAGTAATTTCTAATCATGAAAGATGAAGTCCTCAATAGATATTTTTGGAATTTTATTGAAAATCCATTAGGGTGTCTCCCTGGTGGTGCAAGGAGTTAAGTCACAGCACTCTGAAGCCACTGCATCATGAGTTCAATCCCTGGCCAGGGAGATACCCATATAGCACAGCAGACCTCTCCTGACTCTCCCACCGCTCCCCTCAGCAGTGTATTTCAGTCAATCTGCCTGTTCTGTTCCACACTCTGTCTCTGGTGAATCCTCTCACCTCCCCCCACACACCTCTGGCCTGTACCCCAATTCTTGTATGCATAAATAAATAAATCTTTAAAAAATATTATTAATAAGAAAGAAAATCCATTAGGCCATCTCATTGTCTTTTGAAATAAGAGAAAATGTTTTAAAAATTCTTGTCAGAAGTACCCAAAAAACATTCCTCCAATTTAAGAGACAAATGGATTTTTATTTTTAACTATTTTCATTCTATTTTTTCTTATTTAATTACATAAATCAGTTTTTTATTTGAACAGTATTTGTTTTTGATGTCAATTAAATGTATTTGAAAATAAATTTATTGTCATATATGCATTTTAAAATATTTAAATTAATTATTTTATTAATGGAATACCATTGTTTTCATCCTGGTTAGTATTTTGACAACATAGGATTTCTCCCCTCAGGTATGGTCACCATAGCTCTCCCACCACCAAAGCACCCATAGTCCTCCACCATAGCCTGTTGTGCTCTCCCCACCTTCCTGGTTCTCATTCCTCCCCCTTCCCTCTCAGAGGCCTCAGATCTATGGTCAATTATCAAGGGTTGTTTTTAAATTTTGTCTTTGTCAACCCTTTGTTTGATTTCTCTATATTCCATATACTAGTGACACCATTCAGTATTTATCTTTCTCCTTCTGACTTATTTCACTTAGCGTGATACCTCCCAGCTCTTCTCATGTTGCGACAAATGGCATGAGTTTATCTTTTTTGATCAGTGAGTAATATTCCAGTTTGTATATATACCACATCTTCTTGTTTTCCAAAATGATTGTCAAGGTCTTAAATTTCTACAATTCAATTCTTAAAGAAGTTTGTTCATTCTATAATGTCATTATGGAAATATTAAGCCTTCTATTTCACTCTTACAAATAAGTTAGTTTAATATGAGAGAAATAAGTATTATAGAGATTCTCCCTGGATATGTGGGTGAAAATTATTTGTGAAATCATAGTTTAGAGTATAATTTTGAAAACAACTAGATGATATGGAGACTATTATTCTGTGATCCCCAGACTGTTCATTTAATTGATTTCTATTTTAGGTAACTGACAGTCACATGATAGTTAATTTTTTTGAAATGCCATCTATAGAGGTCATTTGGCAATTGCACTGTTGAAAAACTCACTATTATTCCTTGGTTTGATTTTCCTATAATTTTAATACTGGTTATTTATGCATTTAATCTCAGGTGTTTGGCTTTGAAACAGTTTCAATTTTACTTACATTTCTGTCCTTCATTCATCTTTAAAATTTCTTTTAAAATGTCTGACCATCCTTCTACTGTGTCACAAGAACCTGGGGAAAAGTTAGTCATTTCCCAACATCATTTATATATTAATATGAAAATCACTAAAGTTTTTTTGCTTTTTATCTTTCTTTCTTTTAGCATGTATTTCAGATCATTAGATTTCTTCTGTGATAAACCTTTCATCCATTAAAATATAGGTATCTTTCTTATTAAAGATTCCAAAGCCTATGAAAGTATGATCTACCCCCTTTAGCCAAATAAAATGATGTTTTTAATGGCATAACCTTTGGGTTTCTGGAAGAGCTTCTGTCTCACTGAAGTGATCCTTCCCATGAGTTATCATAACTAGAACTTTGTAGATCTTTTAATTATTATCCTTAGACATGCTGACTACTGATGGTCTAAGATTCATGCTAATAAAAGTTCAGTAGTGTATTTATAAGTGCACTATGTTTGTTACTGATGAGTCATATTTAATTATATTTTCTTTGTTCCTATTTAGTATTACAAAAATACAAAAGACTGGATATTTTATAGGAAACTGTTTAATTTTTAACTATTGAAGTGAAATTTAGGAATTGTGTAGTGAGTAATAATTTAAAAAGGAAGTGTTTGATATTTAAAATTTAATGTAGGTAGCATTTAGCTTCAAAAAATAAAAAAAAGAACATACTGGTTTTTATCCTTATTCTAAAATTCAATTTAGGGAGAGGAAATTCAGGAGTGTTATAAAATATTTAATATTTATTTACAAAGCTTCTACTCAAGGTACAGTTACATGATATGCAAAAAATTACTAAGTTAGCATAAATGTTAATTAATTATTCAAAAGATAGTTTGCAATGAAGATACCTGTACAGAAGTAATTTTTTGTTTTTGTTTCAATTTTGCTCCCAGTTCCAACTGCCTGATCATAGAACTTGGGTAAGTTTCCTACTTATATTTTTGATTAAAGTAACATAGCATTAAAAAGAAAATAACATATTCTAAATTGCTATGCAAACAGAAATAATTCTGAGCCCTTTTTTCATGAAATGATATGGGTTCAGTAATAGTTTTCTAGTTTTGTCAAGCTGTAAAATACTTTCAGTTACAATTGGGCATTTAGCGTGCTATAAATTGTTTACAGAAAGAAGTTTATTCTATAAATCTGACCCATTTCACACAGTTATACTTGAGTTATATTCCTTCTGGGCACTTAGTAGAGTGTCCTTAAAAGAGGCGTTGACATGGATCAGTAAATGGAAACAACCGTTATTTGGGAAGCCTGTAAAAGATGCTTTTGATAAAGTCTTCGAAATTTAAAACCTGAACTTATGTGTAGACATAAACTGATAATGGAATTCATATCCCAGGACAGAACTTAATTCTGGCCATTTAGAGAAATAATATTAACTGTTTAAAAATCCTTATTTAACTAATGAGTGGATCTTATAGCATTGAGTCTCATTCCCTCAACTTTCAGTTAGTATTTCTAGATAACTCAGTTGTCAATTAATGATACTAGAATATCAAATACAAAGAATAAACTTATTTAGTTTTCACTCCCAAATAAACCTTCAATGGAAATAACATATTATATAATTTCCTCTAAATATATGTACTTTTACTTCTTTATATCTTTATCACTCAAAATGATACTATTCTGAGTTATGGGAAAAATCTTGAAGTGTAGTTCAATTTTCCTGTAGTCACCATATAATCATGTAAAATAATTTTAAATTGAAACATTTTAGCAGTTACCTATTTATGCTATCTCATGTTCATTTTCTCCATTATGGAATTTGTATTGAATTGTGACCTTTCTCTAATGTTCATAGATTTCCAAAGGCAAAGTTGTACAGTAAGAGGGTGGTTCTTTGATTATTTTGCTCTGTGATTCCAGTGCTATTCACCTGCTTTTCCTGGCAGAGTATCACCTGTCTTGAGGATTATTCCGGCTGATCCTTATGCTCTCTAAGAGAGAATTTTAAAATTTTCCCTGTATTTTTCTTTATTAATTTTCTAATTTTCTTACATTACTCATTTTTGTACAGTATTTGATTTTTCTTCTTAGGCGTAATTGCTGTATATATCCTACCACCATATCACCTGTGAACCATCACTATGGTCTCTTGTGCTCTGCCCACCCATTTTAATCACTCACCTTCCCTCTCCCCTGCTATAAGCCTCAGATCTGTGGTTGCTTACAAGTTTTGTCTTTTTTATTCTTTTTGATCCTTTGTTCAGTTTCCCTATATTCCTCCTATAAGTGATATCATCTGATATTTTTATTTTTTCCTTCGCTTATTTCACTAAGTGTAATCCCTTCCAGCT